CTTCATCAAGTGATTCTAATCCATATTTCACAAGATCCCAAAGACCTTGAAAACAAAATATAACCTTCATGTGTTTGCACCAATTCTCATAGTTATCACCTTTAAGAATTGGGAGACTTGCTAGAAAATTTCCGTTAGCATAATTCATCGCCATCATGATCTTCTTCTTCTTCCTCAATCGTTCTTGATCGTTCTTCCCTTGAATCACTCAACCGGAGCTTTTGATACTAGATGTTGGAAATCCACCAAAACCTATGATGAACTTCTATCAATCTTGATGAAAAAGATTGATATCACCACACAATGACAATGAAAAATAAAAGATGAAGAAAGAAAGTATTTTTCTGCAGAGTTTCTCTCTGCCTACAAACAATGGAAAACTTTATTATTCACTTGCAACTGCAAATTCTGTTAATGAATGAATTGAATTGATTACAAAAATAGGGGTTACTCCCTATATTTATAGATTTAGGTTAGCTTGCTCCATAAGCCAAAACCCAAAACTATGAAAGTCCAAAATACCTATTTTGGAACTAAATCAAATCTATTCTATTTTAGTCCTAAATCAAATCTTATCTTCTAAATCTAAAACAAATATGTGTGTAACAAACTATTTCCACACTTCTAAATCAAATTAAATCTTTTCAACACTCTCTCGTCTCTCTCGAACAAACTGCTTTGACACAAACAATTACTTTCAACAGTATGATCTTCTAAAGGACGGTTCGTGTAATCTATCATAGAAATGAAAATGTGTGGAGCTAATAGATATTATGGAAAATTTTGGTCATTGACAAGGAGAACTTGTTCAGATTAACACATTAGCATCATGACCTATTTTGAAATAGATATGATACTAAACTTTTAATCGACCTCTTCTGTCACAATTAAAGTTTTATGACCACCACGAATAACACAATTTTCATTGAATTGAAATCCATTCCACTGTTGAGGTGTATAATTAGGATCTGAAATAGGTTGAGACAAAATATTAGTTATTGATATAATGCATTGAGTAATGTTAGCTGAAAGAGGTTCAACTAACATGATTTATTGCATCTTGTCAAATTTAGTCTCATGTGAGAGTAACAGTGACTCAACTACAATTATTGGACACATAACAATAATATATTGATTAATAGATGCAAGAGAACTATAATCATCTAATAATCCTTCTAAGATATCTTCTAAGTGATCATGATTTAATACTGAATCAACAATAAAATCAATCACATCAACAATTTTTTGAATGCTGGCAAGGAAACACAGTGTTGGGCAACGTCATGAGAAACCATGTGAAGAGGAATGAATCACATTGCTCCCACTGTGATTTATCCAAGATTATCGACTTCACTCTTGTGATCGTCTTCATTGAGATATTGCAAAGGAATTGCTGGATTTAACATATATCAATGGAGTTTATGCATGTGTATGATACCTTTGATTTGTTGCTTCCAGGAATGGAAATTATCTTCATCTAGTTTGAGCGTGATTTGTTGTGCAAACGTCTTTAAAGATGTTCTTTGAGTTGAGACAATACCATATTACAAAGAGAGAAATTAAAGTAGAGAGATAGTTTATATTTATATTATTTGACATTTTCAAATGAGAGTTAGTTACACAATTCATGAATGTGCATTTATATGATGTAACTATGTGTTGACTCAACACCCAATTAATTACACTTTGTTATAGTTTGTAATAAGTCTGGTAGAGGCTGTTTGGCTAGACTACACTAGCAGAATCTCTTCTAAATTATATTTTTTTCTTGATGCTTCATCCAGAGGTACTGTTTAATGTGTCATGGTCCTTTTTACATATTGTTGATAACATATTAATAGGCAAGCTCCTTATATTCTTTTGTCCTCAGAAGACTCTTTCAAAGAATTTGAACCATCTTCAGCTCCAATGGATTCATCCACAGGCATATCTGCAAACCCTTTGGAAGAAATTAGTAAATTTAGCAGCTCGAAATGCACAAACCTATAATTAAAATTTTATTTATCATGGTAAATTTTTAAAAACTTTATAAATATTTAAAACTATGTCTGAATCTTTATCTTAACCACCTGTGGGAAATATTTATGCGGTCAACGCAGAAAAATATGATAAGACTGAATGGAGAGGGACCAACCAAATTTCATTATAGAAAAAACACATGAAAATGAATGTTAGTGCAATTTTATACCATTATTACTTAACAGAAATTTAATATGATATGTCTTCTCAAGGCAAAATTCAATGTGAAAATTCCACAAAAAATAATGAAAATCTAGCTCTCTGACACCTTCAATTTGATATTAAACTTTATTTGGTCTCTAAAAGTCTTTCTCTAAAACTGGAATAAAACCAGAAGGCAAAAAGTGTTTATATGCACACAGGGATTTTCCTCATTCAGGCCTGTCTAAATGACCATATCGTCTTTGCCAGTATTGTGAAGCTTCATATCGTGTTCTGAAATTCCAGATGTGTGGCTTTGATTTCTCGTGAGCTTCGAGGATTTCCTGCATGCAGACATACAACTTGTTAATCCAAGAAAATGTGTAAAGTTGTTTGAGGAAAAACACAATTCAAGAGTGTTGTTTTCATTAAACTACTTGTACATTATGATCATATTAAATTTATATGTAGTTCTAAAATTGACTATCTATAGTTTTATAATTGTGATTGGGCCTAACTCAACCTTACAAAATCAGCTTGTAAGGCGAGGATTGTCCCACTTATAAACATATGTTCAGACCATATATTGTCTGATGTGGAACTCTTAACATATAGTAACTAGTAGTAAAAAAAATTAACTGCCGCTAACAACTAACTGATAACTAACATAACTATAATCAAAGAAATTAACCTTTATTATAATCTGCAATAAAAACATAGATAAACTACCATGCCTGATCAGTTAAACCATGCAACTGGTGCATGGTAAAATGATGGATATAAAAACAAGAGCAACATTAAAGAGCTCTTGTCAATTTCATAGTGCTTTCACCATTCACAGAAGAGCAATAAGGGCATCATATAGAAAGACAAAAGTAGAAATGAACAGACTTTGTAATAAGACAGAGTTGAAATGGTAGTTTCTTAACTCTCTTCTAGCAACAAACATGAAATAACAAAATGCCAAAATTTTAGTACAAACAGTAAGGCACCCCTATATTGATGATTTTAAGCATTGCACTGTCAAATATCCATTTTACGATCTTGAATTTGCTCTTTCAGGCCACAAGAACACACACATTCACTCGGTGGGAAATATGTTGAGGTATCCAATACATGAAGGATGAAACCACACATCATATCAATTGTTCTATTGAGGTAATCAAACAGCAGAATAATTTGTGGGAATAATCAAGAGTCAAGACTTGCAATGGGGTGGTATCTGACTTTCTGTGCGCCAGCAAGGTGGCAAATATGTTGTGCAAAATCCTCCAAGCCCACATAAAAAAAAATGCACTTTGGCTATAACATCCATACAAATAGAGTTGGAAAACAAAAATAGCAAAACCACGCATACTCTTCAATTTTCCCAAACACAAGCAAAGGTGCTCTCAAATACAGCAAAGAGGACCATGTTCAAAGAATATTTAACCCAATGTATTTAAACATTTTCAACATATATCAGCTACAAATTAATGAGGAAGAAATAGGAACCAACCTCGACTTGAGAACTGGGTTTGGTCTTGAGCATTAAGCAGTCAACCATTGCTTTCCATTTACCAGAACATTTATCAAGAACACCAAGCCTGTAATACTGCTGCATTTGATGAACCGGGGCTGCACACATTAAACACACAACCTGTATCAGTACTGGGATGGATGACCCATATGAAAAAGAGGCATTTTTTAAGTTTTGAGTGAATGGCGATTACAGTAGCAGAACCATAAGGCATCAAAGTGAGCAGTGCACGATAGTCTGCGTTTCTCTTTGGAGCTTGAAGCTTCCTTCTCTGACGACATAACTGCAACTATCTGAAAATTGAAGCATCCAATAGCTTATTAGATTTTGAGGCTTTATAAAACAATCTCCCAAAAACCCTAGATCTAATGTTTTTGTTGAACAATGACAACAAATTAATGGACAATAGCCAACGATATAGGTAGACCCATCACGCAACAATGCGGACAATAAATGACATTTGTTAGGGGACCCATCATAACAGCAAAACCCAATAAAGAAACACTTGTTGGGTGGGTACGAGTAACACGGTTCAAAAATTATTCTTTTACATAAAGCCAATTAGTGGCGGAGCCAGCATACGGCCAGGTAGGGCAGTTGCCCAGGCTCCGCCCAACCAGACTTCACCATCTTGCGCCTGAGATCTTCCATGGCCATCCTCCGTCGAAGGTGTGGAGGGAGTTCTGTACAGAGTACCTGAGACATTGTCGATTGAGGTCTTGAATTAGATGAAAGCGCTGCCGAAAGATGAAACTATTCCGGTGATTTCGCCCGAGGAGCTTCCGGCTGCTGATGGTGTTTTGTTTGGGTTTCCGACTAGGTATGGCTCTATTGTTGGATTAATATGTCATTATTTGCATTGAATTAATAATTAGTAGAATAATAAATATTGTTAGTGGGCTCCTAGTTTTATCATCTTCCGTAACCGCGGAACATCATAAAACAAGACCACAAAATTCTATCAGTTCTTCCTTAGAACAAGGACATGCTGTTAATAGAAGACAACTGATTCTTTACACTTCAACAACAGCAATTGCAGCTTCATCTACTGTCTCAAATGCATTGGCATTCAATTGTGATATTAATTGTTATCTTAAACTTTGTATTATTACTGCATTGATAATTGTTAGTAATTAGTATCATGGTATTTTGTTTTTCTTTCTTGTGTCATACTCATAGATGTTTCTGAGGATTTTAGTGTCTACACCGATGATGAGAACAAGTTCAAGATAGAGATTCCTCAAGGTGCATTGAATTGAAGTGCAAGTTTGGAAGAAATTATAGATACATTCAAGTTCAATTTAGAGGTTTAAAATTGGTTATGTACTTTGTTTTTGTTTTACTGGTTTGGACTTGAGTGGCAATCAGGAACAGGAGCTTCAACACTATTGTTGACTGGTTTTCTCTTTTTCAATTTCAATATCGTTAAAATGAATATATAACAGGTTAGTGGATTGGACAGAAGCTGGAAAAAACCACCTGGTGTGGCTGCTAAACTCATAGACTGTAAATCATCTAAAGGTGCTTACTTTTACGTTTAAATTTTATTGAAAGCTGTTACATTACATTACATATAATAAGGCTGTAACTGTAAAGGAAAGAAAATATGTTATAGGTTCTGCGTATAGTTCTGATAAATGCTTAATGAGACAGAAAGAGACTTCATAAAACTGAAATTATAGGTGAATTTTGAAGTTTTGAATGCTTAATTTGACTAAAAAATAGTTCAGGATTTTATTTCATTGAGTATACACTGCAAAGTCCTGGCGAGAGTCGCAAGCATCTATATTCAGCTATTGGGATGTTAACTAATGGCTGGTATAACAGACTGTATACAGTAATAGGACATGTACTGTTAGATATATTACAATGTCTGTGTGTGTGTTTGGTGTTACAATGTCTGAAGAACTTTAATAACATAAACTCCATTCTATTCTATCTCAACCAATTAGTCATATAACGAATTTAATATGTCAAATATACCATGCAAAGCAACATTAAAAGATCTGTACATTCATGCATAAGATAGATATAAAGAGATTCTTCATAAACCTTACCGAAATGTCACTTGTTGGAGTATCAGGCTGCTCCTGAAACACAATCAACAGTTCTGTCAGCCTAAATATTAGAAATGGTGTTAGAAAGTGGCCTAAGAGTTATATACATAGTTTATATATTGCTAGTAAATGGTGCTAGAAGGAGGCGTAAGAGTTATCATAGTTCATGCATTGCTTGTAAATGGTTCTAGAAGGAGGCCTAAGATTTATCATAATTGATGCATTGCTGTGAGTCGAGCTTTGAGTAATTTATTAGCATCGAATAGGTGCTTTGTAAGGACAAAATTGTAAGACTCACATAGCACTCCAAATTGATTAGTCCCTTCTAAGAAATCTCAAATAACAGTAGCAAGTAAAATAGATGAAAAGCAACAAAGTACTAGTAGTACATAAAACATATTCTCATTCTAATAATAATAACTTGAAATACAAGTAATAGAATTAAATTACATGAATAATGTAACATATATAAAACCTAAGCCGAAGTAATTCGTTCTCCTTAGCCAAGCAAGTAAAAAAGCCAGTTGACTAAGTCAAGTTTCCTGTGATAAACTATTCCCCAAAAGACTAGGTATGTAGGATTTCACCTACCTAAAACATTGGGTAGATATATAAATAATGATTGGTTTATAGCAAGAGTATGAGAACAAGTTCAATACAAAAGATGTTAATATTACTAGTTTATTATGGTTTCTTGTTTCTGAATTATGTTAATAGAAATGCTGTCGCTATTGAATGCTTAGCTTCTGATCAAGAAGCTCTTCTAGACTTCAAAAATGGGCTTTAGTATTCTCACAACTGCCTCTCTTCATGGAGAAACACCAACTGTTGTCAATGGCAAGGAATACGCTGTGACAACGTCACAGGTGCTGTCGTTGCAGTCGATCTCCATAACCCATCTCACGTGGAATTCTGGAACATAAGTGGTGAGCTGAGACCATCTTTGATGAAGCTCAAGTCACTAAGTCATTTAGACTTGAGCTTCAACACGTTCAGTGGAATACCAATTCCCAAGTTTTTAGGATCACTGATGCATTTGCAATATCTGAACCTGTCAAAGGCTGGCTTTGCTGGTTTAATTCCACCTCATCTGGGAAACCTTTCTCACCTGCAGTCTCTCGGTCTCGCTGATTATAGCCTGCATGTTAAAAATCTAGAATGGGTGGCTGGCCTCGTATCTTTGAAACATTTTAGAATGGATGGAGTCGACCTTCCATCCGTAGCGACAACAGATTGGGTTAGTGCATTAAACCAACTACCTTCTTTAATGAAATTGCATCTATCTTCTTGCCAACTTTTCGGACAAATTCCATCTCCTCCATCTCTCAATTGAACTTCACTTTCTGTCATAGATCTTAGTTTTAATAAATTTTCTTCTATGATTCCTGATTGGCTAGTTAATATTAACACCTTACAACATGTTGACATAAGCAATAATGATCTGCATGGAAAAATACCACTTGGCTTAAGAGACCTACCAAACTTGCAGTATTTGAATTTAGGGAACAATGAAAATCTCAAAGCAAGCTGTTCTCAACTCCTGATGAAAGGATGGGAAAGGATACAAGTACTTGATTTATCGATTAATAAATTACACGGGAGACTTCCTTCATCCATTGGAAACTTGACCTATCTTACTTACTTGGATCTTCATGATAATGCTATTGAGGGTGGTATTCCTAGTTCCATTGGTCAACTCTGCAACTTGAATATTATCGATTTATCAAGAAACAAGATGACAGGAACTCTACCTGAATTTCTTCTAGGAATACAAAATTGTCCTTCCAGAAAACCTCTTCCTAATCTTGTGCATTTTATCATGAGCTACAATCAACTTCATGGTAAAATTCCAGACTGGTTAGTTCAATTAGAAAGTCTAGCCGGTATAGACCTTGCACGTAACCAGCTTGAAGGTCCCATTCCTTTTTCCTTAGGGTCATTGCAAAGTCTTATAACCTTGATACTTGAAAGGAATCAATTAAATGGTACTCTCCCAAAGAGCTTAGGACAACTTTCAAAGTTATCACGCTTAGATGTTTCTTCCAATCAATTGACAGGCATGGTGACTGAAGATCATTTTTCTAAGCTAAGTAAGTTTAATTTCAATTATGTTATGGTCAAGAACTATGCTACCAATTCACTCATACCATTAGTACCTACATGAAAATATAACATAGCAGTAACATAACAATGTCATCAATCCTTCTAAATTTCAAAACACAATTATCTTCAACAATAACCCAAGAACAACAAATCAACTTCTCCCTTAAATTAACAATATCATCACCAACACTTCCACAAATCACAACAACAATTTCAACTTATCAACAAAACAATCTAACAAAATCAATTTGAATACTAACCAACCATAATCACCAATATCTCAACAATAATATCCATTATCTACAACATTTAAAACCAAAACAAAATCAATTTCTCATTACCATTATAGAATCACAAGCCAGGAAGAAAAATAGTGAGAGTATTTTACCAACAATGATGGCGGTGCTGAGTTGAATCAGAAGTAGTGGCGGATTGTGCGAGCTGGTTTCTGTTGCGCGGATGATGATGTTGACAGAAGAGAGGAAGCCGGAATGGAAGGAAGGGTTTACGGTGGAGGGAGGCTGGTTCGCGAGACTTGGTTGTTGGAAGGTTTCAGTGTTACTTGGTTGTTCGACGAGGGAGTATGTCGCGGGTAGGCGGATGGGAGTGAGGGATTGGAAGGTGACGAGGATGATGGTAGGTAGCAGGGAGATTGAGTGGCTAGCTGGAGAAGGAGAGTTCAGAGGAAGATGTGATATACTGAACAATAAAGTGCCCTACATTTTATTTTTAATTATTGAAATATATATATATATATATATTTAGGGATAGTTTTGTAATTTAACATATAAGCGGGTGTGGTTTCGGGTTTCGGGTGCGGGTTTAAGCTATCCCAAACCCACACCCGAAATATAGGGTGGCACCCGAACCCGAACCCAAACCCAAACCCAGTCAATTCGGGTTTCACCCGTTGACTCGGGTGCGGGTGCGGGTGGGGCCCGCGGGTTTGGGTCTGCTTGCCATCCCTAGTACCTCGTCATGGACAGCCTTGAAATCTAACCATTCAAGACGGAAAATCATAGAATGATGAAGTGTTAACCTGTCATCTGAATTAGCAAGGACTACCATAGTGTTGTTTGGGGAAGTATCAAACTGACGGGACAATGCATTAGCACCATTGTTCTCAAGACCAGGTTTTATGTCTTCACTGGTATGGCTCTTGGTGGCTTGATTCTTAGCAAAGCAGCAGATTACATTGTTGAAAAACAGGAAGTGTATCTTGTTAAAGCAATATGCAAAGCCGAGAAACTCGGTCTAGAAGAGGTTTCTAAAGAACTTGTGACTAAGAAAAGCAAATACAAGTTTCTGCTTTCAATATCCACTTTTGTTGTACTCATGATTACATGAACTGTTTTTCTGTATTTTGTTGAGAAACTAGATTTCGTCGATGCATTCTATTGTGTTTATTCGACGGTTACGACTTTAGGTTACGGAGATAAGAGCTTCTCAACTCCTATTGGTAGGACTTTTGTTGTGTTTTGGATATTAAGCAGCACCATTTGCTTGGCTCAGTGTTTTGCATATCTTGCTGATTTTTATACGGAAGATAGACAAAGATCATTGGCGAAAATGGTTCTCACGCGAAATTTTTATATGCATCATTCACTGGGATTGTATACTTTTCTTAATTTGTCGCGTATAATCAACGACGACAACAACAACACCAACACAGAGATGTCTATAGCAGCGACCTCCTCACAAAATCATCAATTGTAAAATATACATGTCGTTCTCCAGCTATGTTAATATGACAATATAAACAAACCCAAATAGACATTTTATCAAACAAGATGCGTGCATACAAGAAATCCGTATAATCAATGAATCCTACAACTCAGATTTGGAGTTTATAATATGTTTACCTGAGTATCAATGGAAGATGGAAGATGTTGGTAGAGCTTTCTCTTGAACCTGAATTTCATCGATTTTGCAGTTAATTAGATAAACCCATAATTAAAAAGCTTTTAATTTGTGAAAACTAAAAATTCGAAGTAGAATTTCACCTGATTCTGAGAAGAAAGCTCGTGGAGGCGTTCTTGAAGGACAAATTTGTTGGATTTGAAAAACAATTTTACTGATGTTTGAGATTTTTGAAGAAGATGTGTTTTACTGCGTATGTTTGGAAGTATAGTAACAGTGACCCATACTTTGGTCCAGTTTGGAACAATGGGTACCGGTTATTTTTTAATTTAATAAATGGGCCACCAATTTATAAACATAACTTTGGGTTGGATTTTTAAATTTGGATTTATTTGGATAGTAATTTGGTTTATGGTCACCAGTTATTATGCACACCCCTACTGTCTACCACCAAAAAAATAGCTTCGAAACCCTTGGACTTTGGAAGACCAGTAATGAAGTCCATAGAAATATCTGCCCACACTTGATTAGGTATTGGAAGTGGCTGGAGAAGACCACCTGGTATTAAAGTTGCATACTTGTTGCATTGACAGACAGTAGATTTCTGCACAAAATTCTGGATATCCTTCTTCATACCAATCCAATACAAATTAGCAGCCAAACGGCGATAAGTGCGATAAAACCCGGAATGCCCATTCTGAGGGGTACTGGGAAATTCCTTGAGAATTGTAGGAACAAAAGTAAATGAAGCAGACATAACTAATCTGTCCTAATACAAAAGAACCCCATTTTGTAGTGCAAACCCAGGTCTTGTGGTTTCCCTCTTTTGTAAAGCCGAAATGATTGCCTGTAAAGTTGGATCCTGCTGTACCTCGTCATGGACAGCCTTGAAATCTAACCATTCAAGACGGAAAATCATAGAATGATGAAGTGTTAACCTGTCATATGAATTAGCAAGGACTACCATGGTGTTGTTTGGGGAAGTATCAAACTGACGGGACAATGCATTAGCACCATTGTTCTCAAGACCAGGTTTATAAACTACATCAAATTGATATCCCAAAAGCTTAGCCACCCAATTTTGTTGATCCATTATGGTTAGACGTTGCTGCATTAATTGTTTCAAACTCTTTTGATCTGTGCACACCGTGAACTTGTTCCCTATGAGATATGGGCGACAATGTTGGATAGCAAGCACCACGACCATTAACTCTTTTTCATATGCTGATTTGTTCAAATTGCAATCACTGATGATAGAAGATCATAATGCAGAGAGAGAGAATAGTTTGTGAAACTCTCATTGTTTTTCTTGATTCAAATGATACAATGAATTCTCTATATATAAAGTAGGAGCCATAACTAACTGTAACAAACTAATACAGAATAATTAACATGTACAGCTCATCAATTATAACAATTGAAACTAATCTCTATTTACACTATATCTATCATTCCCCCTTAGAAGCTGAGAGGGTGCTTGACAAGTCACTCTTGTTGAACACTCTATCTTGTCACACAAAGGCACAAACTTAGCTACAGACTGAGGTTTGGTCAAGGCATCAGCCCATTGATCCTAAGCTGGAACATGTGCTACAATAAGACTCTTGCTGAGGACTTTCTCACGCACAAAGAAAATATATAGCTCCATATGTTTGGTCCTGTTGTGAAGAACAGGATTATGAGAAAGAGTAATTATACTCAAATTAACACACAAAATCTTAGGCATATCGAAAGGAAAGTGTAGTTCCTTGAGTAAATACTGAATCCAGATTAGTTCAGCAGCCAACTGAGCTATGCTACGATACTTTGCTTCTGCACTGGGTCGAGCTACAAGCTGCTGCTTTTTAGACCACCAAGAAACCACATTAGGGCCTAGAAAAAACACACGCTCCTGAAGTGGACCTTCTGTCATCAGGGTCTGATGCCCAGTCAGCATCACAAAACCCTAGCAACTGTAATGGCTGCTGAGTAGAGGTGGGTTGAATAAGGAGGCCATGCTGAGGAGTGCCACTTAAATATCTTAAAATTCTTTTAACTACCTTCCAATGTTCCTCCAAGGGATTGGACAAAAACTAGCAAACTTTGTTAACTGAAAATGAGATTTCAAGCCTAGTTAATGTTACATACTACAAAGCACCAACAACTGATCTGAATTGTGTAGGATCACCTACAACAGTAGAACCTATTTTGGAGAGCTTACTTCTTGAAATCATAGGAGTAGGCATGCTATTTGCATTCGGCATGTTCACCTTGGCCAGTAAGTCAGTGATATACTTTGTTTGAGAAAGAAGTAAGGACCCATTAGACAGATGGGTGACCTCAATGCCTAGGAAATAATCCAGCTTGCCCAACTGCTTTAGAGAGAATTTG